TATATAGTTTCTATGTTATGCTTTCTGTTTCTATAGATTGTGAACCAAACATTGGACAGTTGGTGGGAGGGGGGCTCTACCCATTAAGGGCTATTTAAATCTGGTTCTTTGTTTCTGTCTCTTGTCTCCCCTCATCAGAGTATACTGGTGGAGGGACACCCTATTCTCGAGAATAGCAAATAAATTAACTTTCTGTTTCTCCTTGAAAAACCTCTAAGCATGTTTTTTAATTTGAGTGGCATCCCACACACCTCCTTCCTCTTCTTCCTCTCCTCTCCCTCAGTCTACATGAGATATCATGCCTTCCCCTATGGGTGCTCTGCCCAAAGGAATGTAAATGTTGATGGCTGAAACCTAGCAAGATATCTTGGGGTTGACTGGCTAGATTTCTTTCTTAAAGACCATGTCTTAAACCCAATTCACTTTGGCTCTCATAGATTGGCCAATAGGTACCAGCCCAAGCACCACTTAGTGATCATTGTTTGGGCCCTGATGGCTCAGAGTGAATGTAAATAGTAATTGTTTCTGTTTTGTCCAGAAACCTTGAGGGTCTTCCCTCCCAGATTGATTTTTTTTTTATTAGATAAAAGAGCCTATTCCTTGGGTCATTTCTTAACCAGCCTTAATCACTGAATGGGACTTGCCTTAGTCAAAGTGAGAACTCAGAAAGACCTTAGCTTAAAAAGGCCAACTCCTCCCACTCCATCCAAGGCCATCTCCAGTCATCCTGATCCATATCTTGCCCTGGACCCAGAAGGCTCAAGAGGAAAAAGTGAGGCTGATAACCTAGCACAGCCCTCCCTCACTTAAATCCAATCCACTTGCAAGTCCTGGCATCATCTTCCTGATGTTATGGTAATGAGGATGGGATCTAGACCCTGGAAAGGAAAAACCTTGGACTTTCCCACATGGCCAAATCTCTGGTGTGGCCTGAAGCCATAATCCCACCAAGTGGCCTTTCATTGTGGCTACACCCAATCTCCCCTCCATTGTCTTGCCTCCCTATGGCCCCAGGCCACTTCCCACCCTTGGTAATTCTATTCACTCATGGACTACTTGGCCACTCCTAGATCCCTCCCACAGCCTTTCTGTATATAAGGTCCATCTTGCCTCCATTAAGATGCTGGGATTCTTATAATCTAGCCACTGCTCTGATTTTTATAATCTAACCAATAGTTTACTAATGTTTAGACTCCTTAAGAATCTGCCCAATATGATCAATGTTCTAATAAACCTTGTCTTTGGCTGAAAGAAGGCTTGGGTGGAATTCTTTCAGACAGGACCTGTGTGTTGTGATTTTGGGGTCCCAGGACCTGAACCCCTAAGCCACATAAATGGTCCTCCTGGAGAATGAAGGACAGGGGCAGCAAGGTGGCACAGTGGATAGGGCACCAGTCCTGAAGTCAGGAGGATTTGAGTTCAAATCTGGCCTCAGACCAAACACTTGACACTTACTAGCTGTGTGACCCTGGGCAAGGCACTTAACCCCAATTGCCTAAAAATGAAAAAAATTAAAAATTAAAAAAAAGAGAGAATGAAGGACAAACAACAACAACATCTTTACGATATTGTTGTTACTATAAGGGAGGGATTGTGGTGGGGGTAGGTTAAGTAATAGAAGGGCAAGGTAACAGGTAGAAAAGTAGTTAGGATGGATAGGATATAAGGGATAAGCACAAATATAAAATAGAGATCAGGAGTAGAATTTGTTAGGGAAAAAGGAGCAGGGGTGGTAATTATGATCTCAGACAAAGTTAAGGCTAAAGTAGATTTAATCAAAAGAGAAAAACAGGGAAACTATATTATGTGTCAGTCATATTCATCAACAAGTTGATGGACTTGGAATATGGAAATATGGAAAGACTTGGACTTCTGAAGGAAGAGGTTATTCCCCCCTCAGAGAAACAGGATAAATAAGTATAGTACGGTCCTAACACAGATGCATATGAATGTATATGGCTATATATGAGTATGATTATATGATTATAAGAATATGTATGTGTAAATAAGTATATGTATGTAAGGGTATGTGTATATATATTTTATGTATATGTATATATGCATGCATGTTAGATATGTATGTGTATGTGTGTATCCATGCTTCATTGTACCCTTCTGGGGTGGGGGGAAGGGGGAAAAAAAGAACAAAGTAAAAAGTACACAGCAGAGAACAAAAGAAAACTTCAAGGAAGCAAAGAAAAGATGGACAGCTCTCAATATAATGTGTAGTATTTATCATATAAGCTTTCTTGAAATGGAAATTTATTGTTGTATATTTTAAATCCTCTCTTTCTGCTGTGTACTTGGCAATGCTTTTTTTCTTTTATTACTTTGTATTTCAGTTTCAATATTTAAATTTATATGTTTCTTTTTCTTTTCTTATTGAGTATTTAAGTTTTAGTATTTAAGTCTAAAATAATTTTTAAAAAACCCAATACTGTTACTGTGTAAATTGTTCTCCTGGTTCTGCTCACTTCACTTTGCATCAGTTCATATGTCTTCCCAGGTTTTTCTGAAACCATCATCTTAATCATTTCTTAGAGCACAATAGTATTCGATCATATTTATATATCATAAATTCTCCAGCCATTCCCCAATTAATGGGGATTCCTGATTCTTTCCCACTACAGAAAGTTCTTTCTATACACTGGGCCCTTTCCCTCTTTCTTTGATCTCTTTGGGGGTATAGGTGGGAGGTAAAATAACATATTAAAAAATTAATAAGGAATAACATGTAATAATTCACATTTACGTAGCCCATTAACATTTATAAAGCACTCTCCCCACACTGATCCTGTGAATTAGGTGGCATAAAAATATTATCTCTTATCTTACAAATAAGAAAACTAAGATTTGGTGAAGTTAAGTGACCTGGCTACAGTTACAGCTTTGTATCTGGGATTTGAATCCAGGTCCTCTGATTCCATACCCAAGACTCTTTCCCCTACATACAATTTTGGTGAAAATTTGGGATGATTCTAATTGGCTCAAAGGCAAAGTTTGAATATATGCTTTTGAGGAGGGGGGAGCTAACATAACTTTCTAACCATTTTCCTCTGAAACTGTCTTGTTCTGTTAGTCCACTACAAAATAATTCTTTTCAAAATGTGTTTTTTTTTCCAAATGTAGCATTATGGGGCAGCTAGGTGGTGCAGTGCATAGAGTACTGACCCTGGAGTCAGGAGGACCTGAGTTCAAATCTAGCCTCAGACTCTTGATACTTCCTAGTATCCGGGGCAAGTCACTTAACCACGGTTGCCTCACCAAAAAAGCAAAAAAAAAAATGTAGCATTATGTCAGATTTATATGTAGATAGAGCCTCTTGCATTTTACAATTTTCCCTACATGTTAAAGATGACTGATGAAAAACTGATTTAGTCAAACCTTGGTCTGAAGTTTTATTCCTGAGGAAGCATACTGCTTCAACATTATAAAGAAAAAGAACTTGGATGACTCCAGAGGATTTATAATGAACCATGCTACCCACCTCCTTTCAGAAGGGGGAGGACCCAAGGTGCAGAGTGTCATGTATTTTCTGACATGGCAAATGTATTGGTTTTGCTTTATTATTGCTTATTTGTTATAAGGATTGTGGTTTTCCTTCTTTGTTTAGGGGAAGGGGATGGGAGAACAAGAAGTAGGAACTAGAGATAGTGTGGCCAAAAAAAAAAGTAAAAGAGGCTCATTGAAGCTTCTTAAAAATGAACAGAAGGGAAAAGATGGCAGTTCAAAGGAAAATACAGACAGGCAAGACAGCTTTGAAAGTAATGTTTAAAGATATACTTTAAAAAAGCAAACCATATGTAATAGAAATTTGTGGGTTCACATATCATCTTTATGTTCTACTTTGTATGTAGCAATATTCTTTCGGGGAGGTTCATTGAATTCAAAATTTAAAAATTAAAAACAAAAAATACAGTTTCAATATATAATATTAACTGGCATGTATATTTTTTCAATTAAAAAAAGATAACTCATTTAGACTAAACATCCAAATATGGATTAAGGAAGACCCTAGACCTATAGATATTATATTTTGGGCATTTTGGATAATATTCCATTTCATCTCATACTTGAAATTTGCCCAACATGGATTTGAGAAACTTAGTACCAGAGATCCACCTAGGTGGTTTCAGGCTTAGCACCCTCTAGTGTTCAGTGGAGATAAGATACTGTATCTGTTCTGAATGGGTCAAAAAGGAACTGAGTGAGGTGGCTACTGGTCTGGTGGCTCAAGGAAAACACCACCTGGTGGGTACCCAGACATGGCACCACTTTGCTGAATAACAAATATAGTGACACACTGCCATTTGGTAGGCTTAAGCTAGGCAGCATATAAGCTGATTTGAACTGCTTACATTGTAGACTGCCCTTACTGGAGTGTCCTAGGTGTTATATGCACAGCACACAGGTGTCATATCAATATTAATATTTTATTATAATTTAGCATGTCTATTTTATTAAAATGCTAAAATGGAGGAAGGAGAAGAAAAGGAAGTATGACTGTGATGTAATTGGCAGAAAAACCCTATCTGTTCAGCATATTTATAAAATTAAAATGACTGAATATGTAGTTTTTAAAAAATGCGCATTAATAAAAGTAAATGATCAGGATTAAAATGTGTTCATTTATATCAGAGAGCCTACTTATACCCCTCCTCTATGTAGCACTGTAACATAATATCTAAAATAGGGTGCACAGGGGTATGAAAAATGATCCATGGGTCATTGAGCAGACCACCAATTCCTCTGTTCCACCCCACTTCTTTCCAAGTGCTGGGTAGTGACAGTGGCAGCAAGGACAAATGCAGGCTAAGCCAAGGACCCAGGACAACTGGCCTGACCCAGAAATATAAACCTCAGATTCTGCAAACTATATTGAGTACTCCTGTACTCAACTGTGAGATAATGATGGAGGCAGAGGTGGCAGAAGAAGCTGAGGAGGGTGGGGCAGCTATGGGAGCTGTAGGAGTCCTGCCAATTCTTTTCTTCCCACTCACCTCTTTCTATAGGGCTAGCAGATGTTGGAGACTGATATAGGTTGAACCAGGGGCCTGAAACAGCTGGAGACCCACAGGTCAGAAACCAAGGTCTGGAGCGGCAGCTTTGAGAGGTAGAAGTAGCAAGAGCAGCGGGGTAGCACATACATGGGAGCACTAGGCTCAACTTGTTGATGGAAGATGACAGTGTTGCAAAAATCTATCACGAAGAGAGCAATGATTAGGGAAATTATTCCAAAAGATTGCCTCAGGCACACTAGTGCCTATTGGTCTAATCATTCTGGAAAACAATTGGAATTATACCCCACCCCCACCCCTGCCACCGCAGACAAATCACTAAACTACTTGTGACCCAATGATACTACTATTAGGCATGTATCCCAGGAAATCAGGACAGAGTGGAAAGTGTATTCGATAGATAGATAGATAGATAGATAGATAGATAGATAGATAGATAGATAGATAGATAGATAGATAGACAGATAGATACAGACATAGATATATAGATATATTACAAATCTTTATAACGGTACTTTTTGCCATAACAAAGAACTGGAAGCAAAATAGGTGTTCATCAGGTGGGGAATGATTGATTAAATTGAGGTATATGAATGTGATAGAATTTTATTTATTGCATCATAGGAAATGAGGAATATGACATATTCAGAGAAAAATGGAGAGATTTGTATGAATAGATGCAGAGAATGGAACCAGCAGAACATTATGTGATAACCAGAATGTGAACACAACTCTAAAAGACCTCAGAACTCTGACCAAAATCTTGACCAATCTTGGATTCTAAAGACTGATCATGAAACATACCTTCCACCACTTATGGGCAGAAAGAAGGGTTGAAAGGCAGGAGGTATAGGACCAGACATACACAATGAGATAAGGGCAATATATTGATTTGTTTCACTTTGTTATAAGGAAGGGCTTGTGTGTGGAGGTGTGGAGGGTGGTGACAGGCATGAAAAACACAGAGGGAAGGGAAGGGAGGTGCAGGAGAATTGATTAGAGAACTTTGTTAGTGCTTGCTTCAACTTATATATTTTTAAAAAAACACCATGAAGAAGTTCATGGTTTCTGACACAATCCTCTTCCCTTTTCTTCATGTCTTGAAATGTTTGTGATTGTTGAATTCATAATAAAAAAAGAAAGATTGGCTCCGAGATTGACATTAAGATATTTACTGAGACAAAAAACAACCACAAAAAATTAAAGTGGAGGATGGGGGTGGGGGAGAGGTCAGATTTCAGTGCCCTACTTTGGTCTGGTGGTGATTTCCTCCTGGCTTTGCTTTGCTGTCTTCTAATCAGGTCTTGGACTTCTACATGGGAGTCATTCATTGGTTGGAGCCCTCAGAGAAGGTCCTCTAACCCTCTGGCTAATTGTGGCTGCTGAGCTAGTTCATGCTGCCGCTCTGTTAAAGCTCCCATAATGAATCCAAGGAAAATGGAAGATCGCAAGGGTCTGGTATGCAGAAGAGATGGCCCTCGGGGCCAGTTTCCACTGTGATCTCAGACATCTCCAGGCATCCAATATTCACATGTGAAGATACTCAGGCCAGGTTCTTTGGAGACTTGTCAGAAAATTGTTCCCCCACTGCAGTCAGCTGTGGACCATTTGGGTAAAGAACTAAATATTCTAAATGTAGAAATCCCATAAAGATAATCCTTAGTGGTTAAGATTCTGAATTGTTTTCTCAGTCACAAAGAGTTTTGCAGGGACACTTTCCTCTTCCCCTTCCCATCATTTTAAAATTTTGAATCCTGAGCTCTCTGAGTGGTTAGGGTTCTCTATAAAGTGTTACAGATAAAAAGCTTAAGGATGGGCTGGCCAGTATGTTTCTAAAGAAGAAAGTGCCTAAAGAATTGTTTGCCTTGTTACATGGATGGATGAAGGAAGAGTCATTTATGAACATCCCCAAATCAATGTTCTACCCGGAATAATGCAACATGTCTACTTCTGTATTTTGGATGACAGTTGATGTAATAAATTACAGACTTCTAGTCAATCATTCTTTCGGGCCTAGAAAGTGGCGGAATGCTACCCAGCTGGCATCTTTAACAAATGGAATGCTGTCTCTCATAATTTATGCTCCCCATCAGCCCAATAGCGAGATCCAGGCTCCACTCATTCCCCTTTGTTCACAGCAAATCAGGCATTGCTGATGACAAAGGTGTGATGAGTAAAACATATGAATGTGATGAGGCAGCATGGAATAAGTAGATTGAGCACTGAGTTTGAAATTGAGAAGACATGGGCCCAAGTCCTTCCTTGGACACTTAATTAGCTGTTTTATCTTGGGCAAGTCACTTCACCTCTCTGTGCCTCAGTTTCCTCATCTGTAAAATGAGGAGGTTGGACTCAATGAATTCTAAGGCCCCTTCTAGCCTAAATCTATGATCCTATGATTGGTGGTGCTTATACACATTTGAGAAAAATGATAAATTCTGGTTTAAAACAATTAAAATAAAAAATTAAACTTCACTAATATTTAATATACATTAAAATAGCACCTTATATATTATGAAATGATAATGTACAATCTTTTGAATCAAATAACTAATCAGTTTTCCTTGAATAGAAGGCAATCAGTTTTAAGGAAAGACTGTGATTCTCAGAAACTCAGGAAATATCTTAGTGTAAATACCTTTGTTTAATTCCATGTAGATAGTAATCTTTTTCATCATCTTTAACCAGTTTAAGAGAAGTTAAAAAAAGGAGTGTTTGATTTCAATATTTTCTTCAAGGTATTAACTTCATTACTGTTCCATTTGATATATTTAAGAAAAAACCCTAAACTTCCTGTTCTATGCTATGGAATTTTGATTTTGTTTTAGGACTACTGTAACAGTGTAGTGAAAATTGATTTAGCATGGGAAACTTTTTCAGATGGGCACCCTTTCTTTTATTCCCCTTAATAACAAACTTATTTATTTTTAGTTTTCAACATTCACTTCCACAAGATTTTGAGTTCCAAATTTTCTCCCCATCTCTTTCTTCCCCCCACCCCAAGATGGCATGTAAATTGATATAGGCTTAACATATACATTCTTATTAAACCCATTTTCACAATAGTCATGTTGTAAACAAGAATTAGAACCAATGGGAGAAACCACAAGAAAGAAGTACCAAAAAAGAGAGAGACAGAGAGAGCGCAAATAATATGCTTCAATCTGCATTCAGACTCCATGGTTCTTTTTCTGGATGTGGACAGCATTTTCCATCATGAGACTTTTGGAGTTATCTTAGATCCTTGCATTGCTGAGAATAGGTAAGTCTATCAAAGTCAGACATCACACAATGTTGCTGTTACTGTGTACAATGTTCTCCTGGTTCTGCTCACTTCATTCAGCATCAGTTCATGTAAGTCTTTCCAGATTTTTCTGAAATCCACCTGCTCATCATTTCTTTCTTTTTTTATATACTTTATTAATTTATTTTGATTTATCAACAATCACTTCCATAAACTTTTGAGTTTAAAATTTTTCTCCCCCTCCCTCCCCAAGATGGTGCACAATCTGATATAGGCTATATATATACATTCCTATTAAACATATTTTCACATTAGTGATGTTGTAAGTAAGAATTAGAACCAATAGGAGGAACCACTGGAAAGAGGAAACAAAACACAACAGAAGAAAAAAATAACAAATAGTATGCTTCGATCTGCATTCAAACTCCATAGTTCTTTCTTTGGATGTGGGTAGCATTTTCCTCATGAGGCCTTTGGAAATGTCTTAGATCCTTGCATTGCTGAGAAGGGTTAAGTCCATCAACTTTAGTCACTGCACAACGTGGATGTTACTGTATACAACATTCTCCTGGTTCTACTCACTTCACTCAGCATCAGACCATACAAATCTTTCCAGGTTTTTCTGAAATCTGCCTGCTCATCATTTCTTATAGCACAATAGTATTCCATTACATTCATATACCATAACTTGTTCAGCCATTCCCCAACTGGTGGGCACGTCCTCAATTTCCAATTCTTTGCCACCACAAAAAGAGCTGCTATAAATATTTTTGTACATGTGGGTCCTTTTCCTATTTGCATGATCTCTTTGGGATATGCACCTAGAAGTGGTATTCCTGTGGGCACCCTTTCTTGTTTATTCACTTTCACAACATGCATATTGTTGTTTACCCCTGATTAAATGGATTTATAGATATTAACTAGTTTTAACTAAACTAAGCCTGTCAAAAGGGATAGATGACTTAAAAATGCTTCCTGCAAACAAAACTCAGATTGAAGAGAATACTAATAATGGGAGGACAAGTGAATAAGAAAATGACAGAGCTGATGGAAAAACAATAGCTTAATTAGATCTGACAAGAAATTGGCCCAAAATGCAAAAAATTAAGATTGGTTAAAATATAGGTTTACAACCACTATTGTTATTCATGAACTTTACCCTAAGTATAATACTATTAAAAAATGCTTGTTGACTAAGTATATATTGTGCCAAGAGACCGTTATTTAATCTGGCAGTGCTGGTGGTGTGGTGTGCTTCTAATGATAGTTAGCATTTATAAAGCAATTAAGGTTTGCAAGAGCATTTTGTTGTCTCATTTTGATTCTAGCAGTGTGTGTGGGCTGAGGACTAATTATTCCCTGCTAGCTGGCCCCCACTCTTGGGTGTGTGGGTGTTAATTCTTCCTTAGGGCCATAATTCTTTTGTCAATACCTAACCTGCTCCCCCACTCCTTTAATTTCTCTTGATCTGAATTTCCCATTAAACCTACAGTTGGATATAGAAAGATGCAAAAGGTTAAATTGTGCTTGGTCCTGTTTTGATTCCCTTAGGATCTTTAGATCCCTAGATCTAGAGGCACTTAGGTGGCACAGTAGATAGAGCATTGGGTCTGCAGTCAGGAAGATCTGAGTTCAAATCTAGTCTTGGAAACTTACTAGTTGTGTGAATCTGGACAAGTCACCTCTGTTTACCTCAGCTTCCTCAACTGCAAATTGGGAATAACAACACCTACTTCCCAGACTTATTTTGAGGAAGGAGGAGGAATGAGATCTCATTGGACCATATAATAGTTGTGAAGCTCTAAGGATACTGCTTGGGCACTTTATAAATGGGTAGCTAATGATGTGTAATTCCAAGATCTCACTGACAGCTCAGGCTGTAG